AAGAAAAAAAAAATATAAGAGCCATAAGAGTTTAAGAAAAACCCAATTCACTAGACTAAACTTATAGAGTTTAAGAAAAGCTTCTCCTTAAAAACAAGAGTCAAAGAGAAGAAGGAAACATTGATCCGAGTAAAAACTGAAATATGCCTTTAGTGCAAAAAGGTAGACTTAGGATCATCATTGGGTTTAGAGATAGAACCATCTACTTGTTATTCACGGTTTATGTCATTGGGTAGATGGGGTGCTATTCTTGTATGCATAGGTTGGCATTTACCTTTAGCATTCTTCTAAAGCTCAGTCCTTTTTCATTGAGAGTCCTCTGCTATTAAAATCTGAACCACTTAAAACGGACCATCTCTGTCTCATAACCTGTCATTAGCCAAATGAGTTCACTAGCGATGCATATCTTGATTCATGTTTTTGAACTTAATGAATGTTAAAGGGATTGGTTGATCTTGATGCATTGTGCATTTGAGTGTAGGTTTGGATCATAACAAAGCATGACTAAAGTTTTTAAGTAGAAGTCGATCACCCCGCATCTTAGAACTGTTAGCTGGTACATTGATCTTAATTGTCATATCTCATGTTTTGGTTCTGAATCCCCAACTTCAAACCTCTCCTTCCGCTTACGTCTTCTTGTTTACTAGAGGGCAAGCAAAGACTTAGTTTGGGGGAGTTGATATGCCTATAATTTGCATGATTGAGGCACTCATTCTTCACCACTTTGTCATTGTTTCATCCACATTTCATCTCATTAGGAGTCGTTTTAGTGTGTTTTGCATACTTAGGACGATTTTGCATTAGGATTGCATGTGCATTGGATATTTGGTTGTTTTCAGGTACTTTGGATGCTTCTGGAGTTCAAACAGAGGAGAAACAGAACAAGAAGTCAGAATGCCCAATGACGCCTTCAGCAAAAGTACTCTATCGCAGCTTCGGAGCCCTGCCAGGGCAAATCACTCTATCACAACTCCGGAGAAGCTACCAGCTCAGTTTAACTCAATCGCGAAGCCGGAGGAATCACACCATCAGAACCACTTGACCATCACCTAATGACATCCACTCGATCACAGGGTCGCTGGACCATTCAATCTCGACTTCACTACATCTCACTCGATGGCAAGGCGGAGCCCCTGAAGCCTAGTTTTATCAATGACATACTCGATCACAGGAAAACTCATTTCAGCCCATCTGATGCCAATGACACATTCGGCCGCAGGGTAATGACGTGAAGATTCGCTATATATCTAGTTTCCTTATTTGTTTCATTTCTTGCTGATAATAGGTTTTTAGTCAATTATCCTAAAACACCAACATGTTGTTGTAGTATTTTAGGTTGTCAATCCAAATAAGTGTGATGATAACAATCAAGATGTGATCAGAAGTCACTAAGTCAAGCCAAGCAATAACAGGTTTTGGTGTGTTCTAGCAGTCCTAAGTGAACATGCATCAAACAGAAAGAGTAAAACACTCGACCAACACAGCTCGATGCAGAGCAATGGGTGAGGTCGAGTGACAGGTCGAGTAAAAGACAAAAAACAAAACAAAGACACTCGACTACACAGTCTGTTGCCAGACAACTCAGTGGTCAAGTATCAGGTCGAGTAACAGGAAAGAATTATAGAAACTAAGCTACAGATGACAAGATCCAGTAAACAACAGTAGAGTAAACAAAGAATTCAATCAGATAAAGAATTCCCGAGGATGGGGTAATTGAGTAGTTTCGTTTCCTCAGTTTACAGGTGATTGACATGCTCAATAAATTATCCCTAGACAACAAGTTCATTAACCAAATCTAAGTGCCACCGCAACAGAGACCCTCAAGTTAGCCTAGTCCCAGACTCAATCACCATTGACGAGAGCTAACTAACATGCATTACGAATCAACAAGTTAAAGCCAAAACGCTCCCTGCAACCAATACCTTGCTACAGGGCCACGAATCTCTGGAATTAGTGGCTCAGACATTTCATCGAACACCTTTTGGGCGCGGAAATGTCTGGGCTCAAATTCCAGTTAATCAGAAAGCAATAGGCATTAAGAACATCTAATCCAGAAGGGATCTATCAATCAAACTCAACCACCTAGCATACTGAGAATTCTACGCTACTGTAACCCATCCTTAAAAACCTATTCACTACTCATACATCATTGTAGAGAACATAAACGTTGAACATGATGAAAACATGATAACAACAGTGTAATAGCAGAATGATAACAGGATGAAAACCAATAAACGAAATCAAGAACAAATACTGCATACTAAATACTGAATAAATAAAGAGAAATCCGGATTACAAAAAGATCTAGAACACAATGTCTGCGGAATAAAACCTAGATAAAAACTTGTTTTCGAAAATGCAAAGTACATGCTACCTATAGCAAAATATTCTGAAACCCTAATACTCAAAACACGCAGTATTGGGACGGATTAAGAACTGTACTCGACCCAGGTGGTCGAGTGAGAGGTCGAGTGAATAGCTGGAGTCTTCTTTTCTTCCTTGTGCTCGAGTGTCTGGTTGAGTGCGGAATGGAGAAGACTCTGAAGCTCGTCATTGAGTAGGTATTCGAGTGGTGGTGATGGTGATACTCGACTTCCAAGTAGAGTGGTGTGATCGAGTGGTGGTCAGGTGGTGGAGGTGAAGACACTCGACCAGGGGGTCGAGTCAAGTGATCGAGTATCTCTCGTGGTGGTACTCGGCTAGGGGGTCGACTGATGAGATGAAATCGAGAAGTCCCCTACTCGACCAGGGGGTCGAGTGGTCTGTTGTGGTTTGACATGATCAGGTCCCCTTCTTCCAGTTAGCTCGTCAACAGCTCCAAATCACCTGAAATCAACACAAATTTGCAACATGCATGCAAACCTATCCTAAACATGCAAAGTGATGACAAATGATGACAAATGGTATAAAACAGTGATGATATGATGCTAAAGTGATGACAAATGGATGCTCAAAACATGCAAAATACACACTTATCAACTCCCCCAAACTTAGTCTTTGCTTGCCCTCAAGCAAACAATCAAGAACAAGCTGGAGGTGAGGTTTGAAAGTGGGGACTCAGAGCCAAAACACCAGATAAACCAGATAAAATCAATGTCCAAGTTGATAGTTCTAAGCAGCGATATGGTCAAATTCTACTCAAAAACGTTAGCCATGCCTTATTATCAATCAATCCGACTCATATGCTCGACCTACACATGTTTTCAAATCTACCAATCCCTTTACATTCTTTAGTTCTGGAACGTGAATCAAGCAATGCATCATTAATGAACTCATTTGGCTAAGGTAAAAGGTCAAAAGACAAAGATGGTCCCTTATAGAATAGGCTTCAGTAACAGGGGATCTCTCAAAAAATGATTAAGCTTTAGTAGAATGCTAAAGGTAAGTCCCAAGCTATGCATACAGAGATAAGATCCCATCTACCCAGAGTATATCAAATGAATCTCTAATGGTAATCCTATCTCGAATCCCAATATAAGAACTTAACTCTACCCTTTGCATTCATGAATCTTTTAAGCCCTTTTTCTAATCATTCTTTTATTTTCTCTTAACTCTAGGGGTTTTGCCCATCTTCAATGTCTAACAACAACTAAGCGGATTTGGATTTCTTTATACATCTAGCGGATTTGGATTTCTTTAACAACTAAGGTTCCTGTTTTTAACATTTTAAAACTGAGGGGTTTTGCCCATCTTCAATGTCTAACAACAACTCTTTCTTTTTATACAAATTCCAAAACCTTTACTAGACTTTTTCTGCTTCTTTAGATTACTTCACCTAAAGTCTTTTACTTTTTTCTCATCAATGAATCAACCCCTTTTTTTCTTTTAAACACATCCCAACCCAAAGTATAAACGCCCACCTAGTCCTATCTAGTCCGAAAAATGCGAACTAGAACTACATGAGACACTATCTCTGTCGTTACGAACCTAACACTTTCTACCAAGCTTAATCGGAATAAGAGCTCACCAACACTCACAAGTGATATAAGGCTTGAAAGAAGTCTAGGTTTGGGTTTGGGTTAACTACTCTAATAAGGACAGTCAGCTACTTGGATTAACAAGAGTAATCAAAATGAATAAGAAAATCCAAGTATTTTAGAGTATCCATGAGTTCAAATTTGATGCAGACATGATAATTAAAGATCAGATTCAGGTTCAAATTGATAGAGCAATCTAGGCATGGTTCAGTTTTATTTCAAATTCATTGACTACGCAACAGACAACTAGCAACGAGGGCACTGAGTTTATCCGGTGAACCAAAATGCTTACAAGGCTATCTCATCATTATCCCCGATGCATATGCAACAATCCTAAATGAAACACTCTAGACTCGATCTTAAATGTAATACAACTACATGAACACTCTTTTTTTTGTGAAATCATTTTCTGAAATTTTTCAATTTTTTTTGGTTTTTCTATGCCTTAGATGAATGCACACTCAAAAATATACACAATGCAACACACACTTCCTGAGCCCTCCCCCAAACTTAAATCACACAGTCCACTGTGTGAATAAACTTGGAAGAGAGTACTGTGGACAAATCCAATTAAAGAAACAAAGTAAAGAACAACTCACAACAGATGATATAATACAATGGTGAAGTGAGGCGCTTACCTCAGTCGAAGAATGAACGGAGTTGGTCGTCAATGGCTGCCTGTGATTGCTCCCAAGCCATAGACGAACCGCCCTGTTCCGTATCAGCTCCAGCAGGTGGGTACTCGAGCTCATAAGCTCTATGGCGGCCAGCATCGCTCTGAGGATACCCGACCTCTCTTCTTCTGCTGCGGCTAGCACCGCGGTCAAGTGATCTCCTCGAGTGAATTATGTGTGATCTGCTGCTAGATCGAGTGAGTGTAGCCTTCCTCCTTCTCTTGTGCTCCTGGGATTCAAATGACGAATGCCTAGCCGGGACATGTGAGACTCTCTGCTCACTAAGCTCAGGCCTGTGCTCAGGCTCATCAAATCTCCTCGATGGAATCTCTAGAGGAGGCTGTCCCTGTGGAATAGCAGTAGCGGAGGAGGAACAACTCAGCTTATCTGTCAGAAACTTGATCGTCTTGAAACACTTGGCGAGCAGCTTGTCCTGCTTCTTGCACCACTTCTAAAGTTTACTGTTATTCCTATGAGCTTCACGCAAGCTCTTGCTCTCCCTCGCTGGGGGTACATGTTCACCAAAGTGATACATGCTAGTGTCGAACTCCACTGCTCTGTCTTCATCCATCCCATCCTCAGCATCCTCTCCTAGAAGATCATCCTCATCCAATGGCGGAGCGTTCTCATAGTAGAGGCGTCCAATCTCAGGCCGAAAATCAATGTTATCTCCCTCTATTATCCGTGTAACCTCAGGGCTAGGGAGAAGGATGTTAGCTCTCTTATCTGTAGAGTGCTCAAACCTGAACCGGTGCAAGTCGCCAACGATTGCGAACTCTAGGAATTTGCAGTGGCGTAGATGCTCGATATCCATTGCCCGTGGCTTGAGTCCATCAGATGTGATTGTGACTCCACAAGCGATCAGAATCGGTGTCACAACACCACCTATGCACAGAGCGCCTAGTGCTCTCTTTTGTTATTGCCAACAGCCCAGCTCTTGTATCCACACAGATGGATCAGAAAAAGTACAGAGAGAGGTGTGTCATTGATTTCACCTTGGAGAGACATGCTGTTCTTAGTTTGGCGAAGAGTTCCCTTGAGAGCCATAGCGATCATCTCCATATCAGAATTAGTTCAGTCCTTGTGATCTCTCAAGAGTAGAGTACATTGGCTATAGAACGCTGGAAGTACCTGATGACAGGGCTACGTATTTGATTGCTCTTTGACCTGGAAGAATTCAGCGGTATAGAGCTGCCAATGGTAATCCACAAGTCTTTCAACTCTTCTTTGTCATACTTGGGCTTAGTTTCCGTTCCACTGGGGAAACCAAACAATCCTTCCAAGCGCTTGATTGATAACCTATACTCATGACTATACACAGAAAATCTCAAGAATCCCAATCCTTCACAATCCAACTCAGCAGAGGTCATACCTTGGTAGAGCTCCACTTGCATTGTGGAGAGGAACTGAATTGTCTCTTCTTCATATGCTACATATGGATACGCCATCAGAGTGTCCAGATGACAACTCTGGTACAGGTGCTGAACATCCTCCAACAATCTGAGCTATGCAAGTGTGGTCGAGCATGGATACCTCGTGCTACAGAACTCATTCAGTTTGAAGAGCCTAATATATTCCTTAGCAGGCAATACATCAGGTTTGTGCAGAAGTTTGGTGGCTCTCCGAGTATGCTCAGGCATGTACTTGTCTTCCAGATCCTCATCTATAAGCTCATACCTCTCTGTCATTGCTCTCTTCCCTAGAGCTATCTCAGCCTTTCTTCTGAAGCTATCATATTCTCTCTGTTCTCTCTCTGGCCTCGAAGATGACGACTCTGTCTCTTCCATGTTGTAGTCAGGATCAATGGAAGACCTACCACTGTAATTACTCATGATTTTCCTGCAGAAGATTTACAACTCAAAACCCAAATGTCAATAGGTTAGTCTCAAAGATAACAATTGAATCAAAATTGTTATCAACAAGCAATGGAATGAACCAAATTGGTCGAGTATGTCTTGTATTCGAGTAAACTGGGCTCTCGCAGAGTTCTGCTTAAGTGAATCAAGCTGAAAAGAAACCTGTGGTCGAGTAAATCTTACGGGGTCGAGTGAGATTGATGAAATCAGTACAGCTGGTGAGTTTAGAAGGTCTAGTGCTTTATCGGTGAGCCGGAATTGGGAGGAACAAAACCAAAAATCGGGGGTCGAGTCTGCTGGATGTAGTCGAGTAGATCTTCAGAGGTCGAGTAAAGGACTCGACTGCGGCGGCGCAGAAACGGTCGAGTGTGGCGAGAACAAGGTGATGGCGAACGTCGAAGTGAGGAGCTCGAGTGAAATTGAGTCAGAGTAACTCTTTGGTGAGAGATGGCGATTCGTGGTCGAGTAGAATGATTGGAGAGTCGGTTACGTAGCGGTCGAGTGATTCAGGTTGAACCGGAATCGGTAGTCGAGTGAGTCGTGGAACTCGTCTGAGACGGCAGAGAATTCTTTCAGGCGGCGATCGAGTGATTTCAGCGAAGTCGAGCGCGGCTTAGGTTTCAGAGGTCGAGTGAAGTTTCAAAAGGGGTGGTGGAGATTGAGTTTGAGATTCTCTCTCCATCTTATCCTCAGCGCGTGGTCCACACTCTATTGACTGGGAAAACTGCAGGAAATCTACTGTAAACTTGATAAACTCCCTGTAAGACTCTGTAGCTTCTGTTGGTCGAGTAAAATGATGATTTAAAAATTTTTGGGTTTTAAACATCACACATACTCGACCAATATACTCGAATGCAAGGTCTCCAGGTGCAACAGAAGATTTTCAAAATTTTGTACTTCAACGGGCTATACACTCGATCTCCAGGTCTTCTGTAGAGTAAAAGTTTTGAATTTTTACTCTATCTCCACGTTGTTCCTTTGTTCCAGAGAACCACAATCACAACTAAGACAAATCAAAAATAACAAGTGAAGAAAAAATTATTTACAGAGATAGTCATGGGACTTCCTCCCAAGTGAGCTTGTTTAAAGTCATTAGCTTGACTCCTTTACTCCTTTAATCATCAAGAAGTTCCTGGAGATGAATCGATGTCACCTCTGGAAGGATTTGATTTGCTAAGTATTTCTTGAGCCTTTGACCATTTACTGTGAAATCTCCACTCTTACCAGCTAGAGTGACTGCTCCATAAGGACAGACCTTAGTGATACAGAAGGGGCCAGACCATCTGGATTTAAGTTTTCCTGGAAAGATTTTCAAACGAGAGTTGAATAGCAGCACCTGATCACCAACCTGAAAATCCTTGGTGATGATCTTTTTGTCATGGAAAAGCTTAGTTCTCTCCTTGTAGATTTTAGAGCTCTCATAAGCTTCTAAACGGATCTCGTCAAGTTCACTGAGTTGGATCAATCGCTTCTCCTCAGAAGTTTTTATGTCAAAGTTCAGAAGTTTTACCGCCCACATTGCTTTGTACTCGAGTTCAACATGTAGTTGACATGATTTTCCATAGAGAAGATTGAAAGGAGTTGTACCAATGGGGGTCTTGAAAGCTGTCTTGTAAGTCCATAATGCGTCATCGAGCTTTGCAGACCAGTCTTTCCTTGTAATCCCAACAGTCTTTTCCAGAATTGTTTTTATCTCCCTATTGGAGATCTCAACCTGCCCGCTCGTCTGTGGATGATAGGGAGTAGCGACCTTGTGCTTTACTCCATGCTTCTTCAGGAGGTTCTCAAAAACCTTGTTGATGAAATGCTTCCCACCATCACTGATTACTACCCAAGAAACTCCAAATCTCGGGAAGATTATGGTCTTGAATAGCTTCAGCACAACTTTTGCATCGTTGGTAGGACTAGCAATAGCTTCAACCCACTTTGATACGTAGTTTACGACGACCAGTATATACTTGTTACCGTATGAAGATGGGAATGGACCCATAAAATCAATCCCCCATACATCAAAGATCTCAACTTCCAAGATTGGATTCTGAGGCATCTCATTTCTTCTGCTGATATTGCCTTTTCTCTTGCATGAATCACACTTTGAAACAAACTCTTGAGCGTCCTTAAACATTGTTGGCCACCAAAAGCCTGCTTGAAGAATCTTTGACACTGTTTTGAACGTTGCGAAGTGACCACCATATGCTGAGTCATGGCAATGCAGTAGGATACCTTCTACTTCATCTTCTGAGACGTAACTCCTGTAGATCTTATCTTTACAGAGAGTGTAAAGATAAGGCTCATCCCAGTAGTAATGGTGGAGGTCTCTGAAAAAATTCTTCCTTTCATAACTGGTCAGATTGGGAGGCTTTACTCCGCATGCCAAGTAATTGACGTGATCAGCATACCATGGAGATCCTCCTTCAACAGCGTTCAGTTGGTGGAACTCTTTCCCACTGTAGCATGAAATGACACTTTTCCCGATTGAGAACAAGATTCGTCTCTTCGCACCTGGTCAATACCCTGCCAAGATTCAACAAACATGAGGAGAAAGAGGGGCCATAAACCAAAAAATCGTCCATGAAAACCTCCACCATCTCCTCGATTAAAACTGAAACTATAGAGGTCATACACCTCTGAAATATTGCAGGAGCATTACATAACCAAATGGCATTCTCTATAAGCAAAAGTTCCATAAGGACATGTGAAAGTGGTTTTTTCTTGATCATTAGGGTGAATTGGTATTTGAAAGAAACCACTATATCCATCAAGAAAGCAATAGTATGGATGATTAGCTAAACGTTCAAGCATTTGATCAATAAATGGTAAAGGAAAATGATCTTTCCTAGATGCAGCATTTAGCTTCCTATAATCAATGCACATTCTATGACCCGTTATAGTTTTAGTAGGGATCAGTTCATCCTTTACATTTTTGACAACAGTCATTCCACCTTTTTTAGGGACGCAATGCACTGGAGAAACCTAAGTACTATCAGAGATAGGGTAGATGACACCAGCATCAAGCAGTTTCAAAATTTCTTTTTTTACTACTTCTTTCAAGTTGCGATTTAACCTCCTCTGTGGTTCAATGCTAGAATAGGATTCGTTTCCAAGATGGATCCTATGGTTGCATAAACTAGGTGAAATTCCCTTAATGTCAGATAATGAATAACTAATTGCTCTCCTATACTTTCTAAGCTTAGATAATAGCAGGTTCACTTCATCATCATTTATCTCAGCATTAATGATCACAGGGTAAGTAGAGTTTGGACCAAGAAATACGTACCTTAGACCTTTAGGAAGTGGTTTGAGATCCACCTTCGGCGCCTTGAGTTCAGACCAATCATCTGAAGTTGGGATGATCGGCTCCCCAGATTCGTTGGTAGACAAGGCATCTGTTGGCAACAGAGAGCGGCATGAGATTGACTAATGCTCCTAAATCACATAGGCATCTGTTGAAAGCCAATGGACCTAAAGTGCATGGTAGAGTGAATGAACCAGGATCACTAAGCTTCTTAGGAATGATCTTCTTCTGTATGATAGCACTGCATTCATGGCTCAATACCACCATCCTTGCACTTCTTGAATTCTCTCCACGATCAACTCTTTCAGAAACTTGTGAGATTCTGGGATTAGCGCTAGAGCGTCAACAAGAGGTATCCGCAACTCAACCTCCATAATGTTCTTTGCAAACATAGCTCTATACTTATCTGCCAATGCTTT